TAGATGGGACTTCGAAAGAGTGGGCAGATGAAGCATAGTAGAATGACTGAAGCATGTCCCAGTGCTGGTCAGAAAAAGGCTCAGGGAATCATAAAGGTCCCTCCCATCTGGCTCTCAGCAAGCCAATTGGTTCTATGCTTTTAGTTCATATATTCACTAGCCATTGGTTTTCTGTTAAGAATGTTTCTATTGACTTAAATATCAGTAATGAATAATCTGTACTTGATGTTTTCCAAAAACATCTGCAGAAAAATGTCAAGGATATATTCATTCTGTTCCCTTGACAATTTCCAGGGCATCTACTTTCAGACATTTTTACCAGCTCCATTCCAAAAATATGATCTGATTTGATGGATCTTCATAGTCAAATAATGTAAAATTTGGAACAAAGGCTGTATTTCAAGGTATGTGTGTATGTGAGAGAGAGTGTGTGTATGCACACACATACTCACATACACACACATTCTTCTGGTTTGCTATTACATTATAGGTAACAATAATTACCAAGTCTGAAAACCAGGGACTAGGGAAAAGAACTTTTATTTGGCCTATGTTGAAATTTTAAGCAGATAAAAATCCTCACAAAGCAAGCTTAGGATTGACAATTTCTCATTTATGACTTCTATGAATGTACCATGACATATCCAGTAACCTATAAGAGCAGTGGAAAAGAAGTTCATGCCCTTCTATAATACATCTTCTCTTAAGTGCTGCTTTTGTCATTATTTTACATGATCCACTCACTCCTGCACATGGTACATTTTCTAGAAGGAGCAGCTTGCAGACACCCCATGCAGAGAAGAGCCAGCACAGCATACTGTCATTTGATAGTTCAGAAATTCCAGCTCAGTGTAGGAATATCATCTTGCTAGCTGAAAAGTGTTGCAAAGAACAAGCCATTTTACCAATGCAGCAATAATCTTAGCTTAATCCATGCAAATTTTCTCTTATTTCCTTACAAAAATATTCATGCATTCAAAAAGCAATAGAAATTTACCTGAATGATCCACTTTTGTTGAAGGAATGCTCTTAGGAGACATTATCTACACCATAAACATATGAATATCTAGATCAATTCCAAGAAATAAACCAACTAGATATCCATGATGATATGCAATGATTTTTTTTTTTTGCATACTCTAAGTGATTCCCAATATACCAGCTATCCCACTGAGAGTTGGTTGGGTAGCTGAAAGCTATTTGAAGATGGTTGGAAATCAGAATTTATTATGCCATAGGAAAAAATGTTATATAGCTAACTATATTCTCATGTGTTTGGACAAGAACCATTTTAGCTTTAAGGAATTTTTGGCAAAGAACCACAAAACAATGCATTCTTTAAAAAAAACAAAGCAACATATACCATTTTGAAATAATAAAGTCATGTTTTGGTAGCTCCATTTCTTTATTTCTTTTATCTTCTATCAACAGTCATTTTCCTCCAGGATCCTACTGCCCTTTTTTCCCTTAATATTACCAAAATGCCCATGTTCCAAATTATCTACCTTGTTATCTTCTCTCCTCTTTTAAGAGTGGTATTTCTTCAGGCTATTTTCAGTTGTGTTAAGAGGAAAACAATTTGTCTAATTTCTATTCATTCATAACTGATAATGCAATTACCTATATTCTAAAGAAGGCAAAAATGAGTATCTACTTTTAAATTGGGTTAAGCAAAGTGTGTGTGTGTGTGTGTGCGTGGGGGGGTGTCTTTCATTACGAGCAAGAGGGAACTACCAAGTAGGTAGAATAAACTATCAGACTATAAATCTGTCATCAATTTCCTTACACAGGGAGTCCCAAGCAGGATTGCAAAGATCTCTTAATTTTAGGCAAAATTTTGTATATGACCCAAAGTCTGCATCTATTCTAGAAGAGAATTTATAGCTTTTGTTTGATGGTCAACAATATGTACCTGAATCTCATAATCTTTAAAAACTGCTGTCCTAAGCTGCTTTCAGTTCTCAGAGCTTTCTTTCATTGATTTTGTAATGAACAAACCTTAAACCCTTAAACTTTTGCCCACAGTCTGGCTATGAATTCCAGTCAGCAGCTGCTCCAGAAACAACACATGGAAGGTGATGCAGGGAGGACATGTGTAAGGATTCAAATGTACATAGGGACATTTGTCATTCATTGTTTACAATCTGAGTAATTAACAACACATCACACATCTTACTCCCTATTTACAAAAATGCACATATTCATCTTTTCTGAGAGTCTCATGTCTTCTCATGTTTAAAAGAAAAATGAATTAACAATCAAAAAGTTATTTTTAGTATCCTTTTAAATCATCCTAGTGTGTTTGTGTGTGTATAAGGTTTTGGACAGAGTATCGCTGTGTCTCTGTATTCCTGCCTCAGTCTCCCAAGTAGCTGGGATTATAGGTGTGCCACATGCCTACATTTGAGGCTGGGCCAGGAATTGAACACATGGCCCCAGCCTGCCAAGCAACAGCACGTTACCCGAATGCACTATGTGGCTGGATCTAGAATCATTATTAATTAAGAAAGTGCTGTGTGCTAAGTGTTGACAGCTGTCTGATGGGGAATTAATTAATGTTTAAAAGAAGCAATTCTATTCTTTTTCTTCAAAGCTATTTGAGAATTAAACCATTTCATACCACTCGCTATCAAGTTCTAAAAAGTATTCCTTATTTCCATGTTATTAGGATTGCTCATTTGCATGCTCAGTGTCAGATCATGCTGTTATTGCTAATATTAAAAAATGGATGCGAACAAAAACACAGGGTTCTTATGACCCTGTATCACTTTTCAAATATTATATCTCTATTTTTTCATATTGAATCAGTGAATTAAAGAGTCAGTAATACTCCCAATGGTTAAGGAATTAAGTCTTAAATAAAATATAGGTCTTAGATGATGTTTCTTCCTGTTGCCATTCCAGCTTATCAAGCGACTTTCATATTATGTGGAAATAAGCAATTCAATTTCTAAATTTTTAAAAGAAAAGTAAATAATGTTTTATACTCTAAGTTTTAAGAGAAATTAAGTTTGGAATCAAATTATGAAGTTATAATATTCAGAGATAATGATATTACAGCCAGGGGGATAAAGTTTGGATAACCAAACTATAAAAGACAAAATGCTCATAAAGGGGCTTGAAAAGGTTCCTGAATAGATTTTTATTTTCATTATTGTAAAATAAGCACTCCATCAGGCACTGTGATTTATCAATCTCCACAATATGGCACTTCTTTGATGAAAATGTGATGAGAACTCTACATCTGTCTTGGCCAGCATGACTCACCCGCATGGCTATTCCTTTTGAAGTAGGTGGTAGAGCTGGATTTAGATTTGGACGTAAGGTAGGTAGAGTTGGAACCAATGGAGCTTGAAGACAAAGATTTTCCTAGGTTATCAGAACTTTTCTTGATGATGTTGGTAGCTGTCTTACTCCAGTCTGAAAGAAACAACATTACGCTATCAATCTGCTTTATGGGGAATGCGAATAATCAGCATTGCATTATTTAATTCATCCAGATCATCTGATTTTCTGATATATTGGCTCAGAGAAGAGACTGATATCAATAATAAACTGAAGAAACGGGTACTTTTTTTGTTTATTTGTTTATTTCCTATAGGGCATATGTGTTCACAGAGGAGAGCACAGAAAGAGAGAGGGGGAAAGTGAGAAAGCAATGGCCCCCTCTCCCCTCTACCTCACCCCTCCCATCTAGGAATGACCACACCGCTTCCACTCAGGAATGACCATGCCACAATTTCTTCTCCTTAAGTCTCTCCTTAGGATTTTAGACACACATGCACATGCACCTGGGATGTTTTTCAAGCCACCAACCAGGTCCAGGACTCGAACCACACAGTTGACTATGTGAGACCTAGCAAATTTAACCACCATGCCACAACTGGCCAACAGATAAATTTCTTATTTGATATTTTGTATGTATTGTATACAATGTTTAAATTCCAGTTAAGTATCCTAAGGATGATAAGTAACTATTGATAGTTTAAAAAGAAAAAAACCTTTTCTTCAGGTATTTTTTATGCTGAGAAAAATCCATTTGCTTCATAATGTAATTAAGGATTTCAAAAATACAGAAAGTGAGTAGGGGTCTAGCATAGGGAACCTCTGGATGTCTAAGCTGTTCAATTAGACCTGAAATATTGGCCAGTTCATTTAACCTGTCTGAAATTCGTGCTTCTGCTCTACAAAAAAGGGAGGACTGGGCTCAGATCTCCTGTGCTCCACTTTGACAAATTGCTGCTACTGGGATTGGGTTGCTTTGACAAAAAATGATTGGGACAGGGACCAGTAGATGGTGTAGTGACTATGTCGCTGGACTCCCATGTAGTCAACTGTGGTTCAAGTCTCAGACCTGATGACTTAAAACTCATATCAGGCATGCCCAAAATCCTGAGGGGAGATTGGAGAAGGAATGGTGGTATGGCCATTCCCCCAGGGGCGATTTCTCACTTTCTCTCTCTCACTGTCACTCTGGTGAGCACACACACCCTATAACAAAAATCTCTCTTAAAAAACCTAATGACACACATTTCCAATTATATTTAGATGCAAAATCCAATTAACCACACACCCCTTTACCTGAGTTGTCTGCTAACCGAAATCGACCACAGCAGAGATGTCGCCTCCACTGTTTCTGAACATTCTCCTTCATGGCACAGTGAAAGATAAATATAAATAAGCCTGTAGCAAAATAAAGCGTAAATATTTACGCCAAGTGACACATTTTTAAAGATAAATCTTATAAAGTACATGGACTCATTTTACTTTTAAATGTTTTTACATCTAAGTCACTAAGAAGCAAAGACCTTAAGAAAATAAATATTGCACAATGCAGTAGACAAGTTAATTCTTTAGAATAGAACAAAGGCTCAGCTAAAACTAGAGTACATGGATGTGATTCTGTCTTTGCCTATTCAGTTCAGTAGTCATTGTGACTTCACTTGAAGTCCAGGCTGAAATAAGCTACATTCCATTTACGAAGCATGTATAATTTCCTTTATGTTATTTTTTAAATTTTGGAAAATATTTCCATAGAATGTTAAAGAGAGAAAATTGAAAGTACCCATAGGCTCATTATCTGTTTTAATTTGCATATTCTAAGCTACTTTATGTATGAATATTATTAGTTATAATCATAATATATTAGGCTGGGCCATAGAAAAGTGGTATTTTTGCAGGTCAAAAATACCCCAGCATGGCCCCAAATCAGTAAAATCACGTGGTTCCACCTGGCCTACTTTAGTTTCTTATTTTAACACAGAAATATTTCCATATTGGGAAATAGTCTTCATATTTATAGCCACTCCCCACGCCTATCAAAAACTGTGTCACTTGGTTGCTACCTTTTAACCCTCTCCTTGTGGCCTCATGAATTTCACTTACTTTTCCTCTATATTTTGTTATTCCCATGACCTGACAAACATATTCTAGTCTACCTTTTTTAAAAACAAGCAAAAAAATTATTTCCTTGACCTGCAATCTTCTTTTACCTTCAACTTCTTTATTCTCTTTCCCAATATAACTTCTTGAACTGGTTAACCTAGGCTGTCCCCACTTTCTCTCCTATCTTCTCTTCTTAACCTATTCACGTCCCTTCAAATCCATGATCCTGCTACCGTGACTGGTTATCTAAGGATCAAAGTGATTTCCATATTCTAAGTCAGTTTCCCTCTGCTACTTTACAGACTTCTCAGCAGCATTCAACACAATTCTCTCATTTTTGACTCCCATTTTCTCCAAGTTTTCTTCCTAATTTCCTGGGTATGCCTTTTTGGTCTCCTTAGTAGATTCTTTGGCATGACTCTTGACGTATGGTCCCCCTTCCTTCTTTTCTGAGCACCACCAGAATTCTAATCCACGCTGCTTATAGGGCATCCTCACCTGGTTGTATCTCCACACAGCATCATCTCAGACCACAGATAATCTGGGCAGAAGTCTAATCATGACCCTGAAATCACACTTACCTTTCTTCTGTCTTTCAACATACCAAGTACATTCCCACCCAACACCACGCTAAATCCTCTTCACATTTTCTCAAAACAGGCCCTACCTATCATTTAGGTCTTAGATCAACTGTCAACTCTTTGAAGATCCCATCATCAACTGTTAACTGTCTTTTCAAATTTTAGCCTGTAGTCATTTTACATATCTATTTCACTCATAGTACTAATGAATACATATTCTTATATTCCTTGTTCACTTTTTGATTTGTTTGCATTATCGTCACTTCTTAGTAGATAATAAGCTCCAAGAAAATGGGGAATTCATCTCTTCAGTGTTCTGTTGGCCATTCCAATAACAATGCAAGGGACTCAAAGACTATTTATTGAATGAATAAACAGCCACCACAGTTAATCAGTCATTTATTCTACATGAGTTAACTGAACACGTACATACACATTCTGAATGTGCTCACTGTGTTTGGAAATGGAAAGGGTTAAAAACAGAAGAGAGTAGTACAAAACTAAGGTGAGGTTAAAAATACAATGAAATGCATTTAAGGCAGAAGTTTCTGAAAGGCATGCAAGTCAGTTGTTCAGGTATTGTCCTAGTAATACACTATATCGGGCAGTATCTCTACAAAAGAAAATGACGTTTTAGAGAATTAGAGATTGCACTGAGCCTTAGGAAAGCTTTGGATAGGAAGGTAAGAAAAGTTTCCACGGAAGGTAACTATCACACACTGCTAAGTAGGAGGTACTGTTTCACTGAAGGGTCAAGGATGAACTGAATAGACAATCCTTGTATTCGTGGAGTGAAGGGTCTGCATGAAATGGCATAAAAGTAAAATTTATGGCAGCATTTCTAAAGGACAAGTGAAACTTAACTGTTTCTTTTGAATGTGGAATATTCATTGAGAAAATTATGAATTACATTGTAGTTTGTACAATGGAAAAAGTGTGAGAAAGTATTGCCAGTACTTTCTGTTGAAGTAGTTAAATTTGCAAAATATATTTAAGGCTATGCGTATGCTTCTTTATTTCTTAATATTGTAATTCAAAACAGCCCATAGTTTCATTCCATAATAAATTACATTATAATGAAATGTTTGAAAAGGAGCTTGCTGGTTTCTATACAATGGGCCTTGACCATAGTGAAATGACTCCAGGCTGAGTTTCCTCTGGGTTAGCTTCTTGTCTGGTGATCTGTGAGTCCCCAGCACAGTGATTGGCATTTAACAGGTAGTATCTATAAATTCCTATAGAAATTATTGAAGAATAGTTATATATTTTACTTGCAAGGAAATGCTACTGTTAAAATATTGACTATAGTTTAGTAATGATTTCAAATGGATGACCAGCCTATGAAAAAACTTCCTGAGAAATTCAGACACATTTATCTCTGAGAGGTATAAATAAGGCATTCAATGATCTAAGTAATTTAATGTACAGGTACCCAATAAGTTTAAGAAACACTGGTATGTAAATTGGATCCCGAATCTGACATATCCTCTCTAAAATTATGTGACATAGAGAAGTTATTTAGATACTCCATCTTCCACTATGAACTGTGATGCTATGCAACAAAATTAGATAAGAGGCATGAGAAATCAGAATTCTTAGGAATGAATATATTTTAAATTCCAAGATATTTTATTTATATTATAAATATGGTACATTCTTTAGCCTTGAGATAGCTTTGCCTTTTTTAATCAGAATAGGACTCTCATAGTGGGTTATTTTATTATTTATAATAACTAGCCCTTTTCAGACAAATTTAAATTAGTCTGGCAATAAATATCATACCAAAATTCTTTCAGGACAAAAATACCTCTTTTAGAGTTCATTCGTGGGAACTGTGGTAGGCACTTACATCTGGAGCAGGCACATAAGCAGGATGGAAAGATATTCGAAACACTTCAGGAAGGAGGAGTAGAAAGCATAGCAAGAGAGCCAAGGATGCTTGGAGGCCAAACTGAGAAAACAGAGACCTATTCCTTCTTACAGCTTGAGGGTTTATTTTTTCTTCCCCATCTCTTATAGATCTTTGTGTGAGAAGTAGAACTGAAATCACAAAATGTTAATAGCGTTCTACATTGACTTCCAAAGGAATCTGTTGGATTTCTCATTCCAGTCTCTGCTCTCTTTTTATCAGATTGTTTCCTGTGGGACTCTTCATAACCACCTAGGAAAAATGCATTATTTTAGCTTTCTGGAAAGAGCTTTTAACTGTGACTAGAGACCATGAAAATCAACCTTTAGTCTTCATAGTTCCTTTAGTTTCTCACATTCAACTAAGCAGGAGGGAACACTGACCATAAAAGCTAGAAGCTAGAACAGCTCAAAAGACTGAATTCAGAGTTAAAGCTTGCAGCCCATTTTGACAAGCTAGGGACAGTTTCATGAAACCTTTGTATCTCACAGAAGAGCTCAGGATTGTCTTTTTCTGGCCAATTTTGGCTTGAAAAATTACTGCTCTGATAAATCCAAGCCAGAGTTCTTCAGCAGAGGCTTGTTCAGCTTGATAACTGTCTTAATTCTTAACTTATAGAAATCCACCCTGTTAGACCAGCAACAAAAACTTAAAACACTTACATAAACAGATTCCTAACCATCCCCTTGTCTTCACATCTCACCCTCTCCCTGTATTCTGAACTTTTACCCCCATCTCTTACTAACAAAATGGATCTGCTTATGTTTCTTCAAATTTACAATATGTGAATTCAAGATGTCTTAATTCTCAGTAAATTTTGCTATCTTCTCATTTAAATAAGTAACAACTTTCTCCAGTAGAGGAAGGGTGTTATAACAATGTGGAAAATGAGAGCTGCCTGTGGGTGTTTTGAAGTAGAAAATGTAATGTATTCTGCTGAGTCAGATTCTTCTGGAGGAGAACTGGATTCTCCTAAGGCTGGTTCAGCAAATGTAGTGAAAGAAGATGGTGGAGAGCTAGGAGGAAGCTCAAAATTTGGAGAAAAACCTGAAAAATCTCACCAAGCAGTAGAATTGATTTTTTTTGTTTTTGAGAGGTTTTCGCTATAGGGTGCATGCGCTCGCCAGACAGACAGAGAGAGACATAGATACAGAAAGCGAGAAATCACCCTCCGGGGGGGATGGTCATGCCGCAATCCCTTCTTCATTCTCTCTCAGGATCTTGGGCATGCTCGTACACGTGCCCGGCGTGAGTTTTAAGCCACCAGGTCCGGGACGCAAACCGCGGTCCAGCGACATAGCCAGTACACTAACTGCTGGTTCCCTGGAATTGATTTTTGATATCTAATTGTCTCACCTATCTCAAAACACATTCAAATAGTACATTTGAAAAAAAAAAAAGCAAAACAACAAACAGAAAAAAAACCCCAAAATTTCTATTTATCAACATGATATTCACGGTAGATTTTTTTTTAAGCTTGTGTGTTTCATCTTTGTCTTTATAAGAGATATTTAATTATTTAGGAAGGAAAAAGATGTACTTAGATATTTAGCTAGAATTTTGACTGACATAGAATTCATTCTCTTTGCTTGATTTAGGCAATGATATGTGAATTTCTGGGGCAAATGTTAAATGAGTAGCTAAATGGGTGTTCTCAGGTCTTCAGGATGATTATCAAAACTTAATACAAGTGGGCTGGAAGGTAGCATAGTGGTGAAATGAGATGCTCTGAGAGGCTGATCTCCACGGTAACGTTCTGAATTCCTGTCTGGGGTTCTCCCTAAGTGTACCAGGCAGGCATGTGCCCA